TATGTTAGTATTAAACTTATTTGACCGTATTCACAAACACGTGTAATGTGTAGCTTTGGTTGTGTTTTTTTTTCTAAAACTATATAGCACTTCTGTAAATATAAGACAGTTGATTTCATATATATGTACAGTCTCCAACATGATTTAAATAGCTACATTGTAATAAGTACAAAACTTGGGCGCTGTGGTAGAGTATAACTCCATTATGGATAAGATTTTATTTTGATAAATCACACACAATGTTGTACAGTTATATTAACTGATGACATTTCGAGCACAAACTATTGCTCATAATCATATCAAGTAACTCACACAACTTTTTTCTTTCATTTATATACATGTGTGGAATCGATTAGATATTGGATTAAAAATCAATGTGAAATAATGTCCATTCAGAAATAATAGTACAAGTGTTATTGACCCATTACAATTATATGGGAAATACGACGAGTGTTTTTATAGTCATAATAAGTAACTTGTTAGAATGTTGTGATGTGCTTGGATTGAAATAGAATTTTAAGATTATTTATTATCCTCTTCTGATTTGACCAGCGGTAATAATATCTTCCATATTTCTGGTATTTGCATTGAGTCATATCTGTTGCATGTATTGGGTGTAGACTCGATGAATAAGGATTCTATTTCAATCTAAACACATCAAAACATTCTAACAAGTTACCTATTATGACTACAAAAAGCACTCGTATAAAACATTCGTATTTTCCATATAATTGTAATGGGTCAATAACACTTGTACTATTATTTCTGAATGGACATTATTTCACATTGATTTTTAATCCAATATCTAATCGATTCCACACATGTATATAAATGAAAGAAAAAAGTTGTGTGAGTTACTTGATATGATTATGAGCAATAGTTTGTGCTCGAAATGTCATCAGTTAATATAACTGTACAACATTGTGTGTGATTTATCAAAATAAAATCTTATCCATAATGGAGCTACATTGTAACTGTAAATTATTACAACATGTCAATTTTAGGCCACAAAGTCTGAATAACTTAAAATTCCTTATAGTCTATTATAGCCTCACCCTTATCTAATTTACGGATTCATTTTATTCTGTTTTTTTATAATCTATGGAGGCTAAACTATTTCCAGCTATAGGAAAATTAGGCATTCAAGAACAACTTTGTCATCTGACACCCACAAAAATTTTAGATTTTGTCATTTGGTCTTTACTGATGTCATCCGTACAATTGATTCTTATAGGTTTACACTGTAACGACATATCCCTGCGTGTATAACATACGAGTATGAGGATATATAAGCATTTGCATATGTTATCGTTTGTACAGAGATAGATATCTTTTTTCTTATGTGTATACAGATAGTAGTGTAATGTAGTTGTTTTGCAACAACTATCATAGGGTATTTTTGTGGAAAAAAAAACAGGTTTCATTACTATTTTCGTGTAAATATACTATTTCCGAATTTATTTTTGAGAATCCTTTGATAAGATCCCATGACATTTAATTTTTCTTTTTAATTTCTATTAATAACTGTCATTTTACATTCTGGATTTCGAATTTTTATTTTCAATTTCAATTTCCGTGTATACCTTATCAGTAAGAAAATATTTTTAAAAATTAAAAGAAATTTGTGTTGTTTTCATTTTATTCGCTGATAATCTTATACTTGATTACGTACGAGGTAGTATTTTATTCATTTATAGACATGTTATTTTTAAAGTGACTTCTCTATTTCTTTTTCTTTTCTCTGTACAATTTACCTCAATAAAATCCTTATTTACGATAGTTAAATAGTTTTCTTTATTCTACATTGTAAAGTACTCTTGTAGAATTACGTCACATATTTTGATCAGACACTAGTTGGTAAATAGTGTTCAATCAAAAGTATCCAATACAGTTGTTGTAATTTTTTGTAATAGTAGTATATTAGTATTTCGAGATGACCGAATTACAAAAACTCAACCAAAACACAGAGAGGGATGAAATTCAGGAATTTGTGTTTGGCGGAATTCTAATTATCAATCCATATAAGAAAAATATTAACAAACAACAGTAAGTATTTAAACAATACAGAGATAGAAATTGTAAATCACCACATCCGCCACACGTCGAATATCTCCTCGCGTATTTATAATGATGTCTCGGTTTGCTTGCAAGTAGCTGCCACCTTCTAACTGATTCTGTGATATTATTTTCATCAGTATCATCTGGACTTATTTCTGAATTATCTACAAAATCAGGATTAGTAGCGGAATCATTAAAATTATAATCGGAACGACCTACTTCATTTATTGTCACTTTGTCCAGGTGTCTGTTATGAACTGAATGATCTTCGATGTCTGATAACTTCACCATTCGATTTCCCATTTTTTGTAGTATGATTCCAACAGAAGGTCTATAGTCATTCCGTCTGTAATAATGTACATTAGAAGTCGTGGACATCAAATGCTTTCTGAGAATTCGAGATTTGAATAGTTTATCAGGACTTTCACGAGTACTTGTATGCTCTGAATTCAACAAACGCAATCTATGCATATGCAGCGACTCCTCTGTTTTAATCAGTTTCTCTCTCATCTCAGTCAGCTGTTGACGAATGGACAACCAGCCAGCTTCCATTTCACTCACTTTTTCGTGTTTTCGACAGTTTGCATTGTAACTCGGCTACCTCATTTTTGAAAACATGTGATACAGTTGACGCTTGAGTTGCTGAATTTGTAGTGAAGGTTTTCATTGGATCAGATTGAGTATTTTGAAAAGTTGAAAGATACATTGACTCCATTTTACTACACAGATTGGGAGAATTATAAGAATTCTGAGTAACATGAGTATTTGAACTTCTGCAAACACACTTGATGTGTCCAACTTTACCACATTTGTGACACTTAGCACCCCAAAATCGGCAAGTGATTCGTAGATGAATCTTTCCACAAGAAAAACACGGTTTAATGTTTTCGCTCTCTCGCTGCATTCTATTACGTGTGGATGACAATTTGGATTTCTTTTATGAACACTTGTATTATCGACTTTGGACAGCATGACATCAGATACTGACGTAGTGGGAGCAGAGTATTCACTGTTGACATCTTCATATATAATACATAGATCCTTAGCAGTTTGAAAGGTACAAGAAGGAATCTGAATTGACTCTTTCTCCAACTTAGGAATATTGATTCCAGGAATTAGACGATCACGTAGTTGAGTATGCAGCTGATCTCCAAAGTTGCACTTTGAAGGTTGTTTTTGAAGCTGGAGAATAAAGTCTCTAGTCTTCTGGTTGGGAGTACGAACCAGTTTGTTGAACTGAGCCCTCTCTCGCGTCTCAAAAGTAGTTATATGGATGTGATCTATCAGAAGTTCACGGAGCTTATCATATGGCAGAGAAATTGGTTCATCTGGAAACGATAGAGTCTTCACTAGGTTATACGCATCTAGCCCAATAGCAGTAATGAAATGAGCTGAAATTTTGTCATCCCGAACATTCTTTGCAATGCACCATGCATCGAAGCACTGAAGATAATCAGCAATTTCCCGCGGTGAACCATTTATAGGAAACTTTCCAAGGTTATTTAGTTCCATCGTGGCGCCAAATTGTTGTAATTTTTGTACTAGTAGTATTAGTATTTCGAGATGACCGAATTACAAAAATTCAACCAAAACACAGAGAGGGATGAATTCAGGAATTTGTATTTGGCGGAATTCTAATTATCAATCCATATAAGAAAAATATTAACAAGCAACAGTAAGTATTTAAACAATACAGAGATAGAAATTTTCAATCACCACAACAGTCTTATTGAAATATAATTATACTTTATTTGATCTAATCCACAACGATCAAACTTTTTACTGATAATAAGTCCTACAGGAGATCAATCATGAGCCCAAATAGCTCAGTGGTAACGTCTCTGATTGTAACACTGGATGACGTGGGTTCGAATCTCATAAGGGACATGAATTATTCCTTCAAGGCTTCAGATACTCCTTACTGATCAGTGCTAACTAGCACGAAACATAAATCAGACAAAGCTTCCTGCCGACTGCCTTCAGTCATCTAATACGTCACATATCCTAATACTACTATGCAAAAGCACCCTGGAAACTGTTGCCATCATAATTTATCTGCAAAATAATCTTTCTTTCACTACATTTAGACTTATAAACTTCGAATCTCGGTGCTACATTTATTTCCTTATTTAAGCTGAAAAGATATCAAGAGTTTGGGGTTAACTGATTGTGTAAGAATAGAAGACAAGGGTCGGCAGCAGATCGATTTATTACGGAAAGCAAAACGTATTTATATATATTTCACATACATTATTATAGCTTATTCAAGTAGACAAACGCAGTCTTCTGATTGGTTGTTTCTCAGAAGTTAAAGGAACAAACGCTGGCTTCTGATTGGTTGTTTCGGGTAACCATCGAAAAGTAGAGCCATCTATCTGCGAATCATATTTGCCCACGTTAAGTTTGCTGTGATTGGTTGTTGAATCAGCCTTGCTCATATTTTCTCACGGCCAATATTAGTGACCTGGACATTGACGTAGATTAATGTCTACCAATTGGCTAGCAGCCTGCTCTCACCACAATTGTATACCCATCATGTTAAACAGTTTCTTGCTATGTAATTATTTCTATCACTGTAGTATCTGAAGCTAAAACGTTTTGCAGATTAATCTGTATATGACTTATATACACCCACCAGTAGAGTCTTGTGAATACTTTTGACATGTAAAGTACACTTAGCACATAGTGAACCCCATTTTAGTGAAGTCCAGTCGACAGGTTTAAATGCCTTTTTTATATTTCAGTCATTTGTAAAACACAGCTAGTGATTTTATAAGACTGATAATTTAAGTCTTTTATTTTTAAAAATAACAGTGTATGCGACTAAATAACTGAAAAAATATTTCAGAAAAATATTGTAAAATGAATTTACATAAATCAAGTTGAAAAAAAGTAAATCTATCAGTAAAAAGTTAGTGAAGTACTATGAATAAAAATATTTCTTATTCTGAGAGATCTTCTACAGGTTGATGATTTCTGTTTTGTACTAGAAGAGATGAATAGGATTTTAAATAACTCAAACCAGCAATAATTCCTGCTAAGTGACCTGTGAAAAGAAGAAAAAAGAACAGAGCAGTACATTTGTTAAAAAACCTTCTTGATTTGTCGTCAACTAAGTGAAATAGTTATACTTTTATGGTAGCAACTACCTACATTACTAAAATGAAAATAAAACTCTTTTTTTATTACAGCTTGATTCCACACTGTATTTTCGGTACAAGTATGCAATTTTCAGCATGGATATCGGTAGCCCAAATCTTGCAGGTTGACCGTAGATATCAGGTGTGCGTCGGTAGGGGATCGAACTTCAGACCATGTGCATGGTCGGCGAGAGTCTTAACCACTGTATATGAGTTTACCAGGCATAACCTACATTCAGAAGAAGTTAAGCAGACTGATAAAAACATCTTGGCTTATTTCAATTCTAACAGATATTTCCGAGAAGCCTTAAACAATATCAGTTGAAGTTGCCTCTTTTCGTTATAATGACTAGAACTGTGCAGTATTCTGTTAAAGATTACAGCATTATTTGACTGTGACTAGAACGCTTTATGCATGTTACATGGACTAGAATACGAAATAGAATAGGTGCATATTTAGTAGGTCAACAAAAGACGGGTGAAATTAGTGATCTGTATCATAATAATGAAACAAAAGCTTAAAATGTGATAATGCAAGAATAATTCTATAGGTATAATTTCATTATTAATGTTAAGCAATAAATGTGTCTTCAGAATGAATTTTACTTCGATTACTGCCTTCATACATTTAGGGCGAATACAATAATCTAGTTTAGGCAAAGTTAAAGTGTCATAGCTAAAGTCAAGGTCTTCCAAAAGTCGACCTTCAAGAACCAATTAGATATGGCGAATGTTACGAAATGTCGTTTCAAATAAAATTATGCCCGCCGTTTCGGACTTGGAGAAGATTTATACAGTATTCTGCTTATTTACTAGATACTTTTTCTGAATATGTATGCTATTAGGTAGGGTTACGGCTTTTAAAATTAAGGTTTAGGGCCTAGGGTTAAGGTTAGGTTTAGGGTTAAAGTTAGGATTATGGTTAGAGATAGGACTAGGTTGGAGTATAGTGTCAGAAACATCAATGGATGTCAAAGTAACATAACTTACAATCACCCAGATGAATGGGTATATCGAGCATGTTATGATTTCTGTGTAGATCATTTGTGTTTTGTGTGGGAGACATTCTTACAACATATAAGCCATAACTTTACAGTGTAATATCAAGTTTGTAATATTTTTTAGTGTATTTCTCAACGATTATACGACTTCTTTGCATGTGAATGCTGATTGGTTGTTCAGGGCTACTGTGATTTTGGCTATAACAGTTTAACTATCCCCTAGTATGTAGTCTGTCAAACTTTACTCATATGTACAGCTTGCTTTCAAAAATAAGGAGCCCTTGAGAAAAAAAATAACTTGAGAACTTACATGTTCTCAGACTGAAATGACTTGTTCTAATACGTATGGTTTATTATTTTAAAAAAGTGTTATTTTGATTGAGTACCTATGGAAGGTTAATCAGCTACTTAAAAGCATTTCATTAGTTCTTTCGTGTGGATCCATTGGTGCGGGCATAGACGTTCAAAGTTTAATTTCACTTTAACGAGAAATACAATGTAAATTTACTAAGATTATTTAGGTGTACAAACCATTACTTTTTAAGCTATAAGGTACTATGGTAGGAAAGCTAAGAACTGACTGAAAATTAGCTAAAGCCAAATTTTGTCAACAGCTAATATCGTCTTCAGAAAAATCAGAAGTTAATGAACAATAAAATGTCTATTATGTTTGAGTTAGTGGTCCTATAACAACTCTACGATGTACTGAGGTCTAATCTGTTGTGTTGCAAAGTAAGTGTTCCGGCCAATAGTTCATATATGTGAAGCGCTAGAAGGCGAGGTATGACAAATTTTCGATACAGCTCCGTCTTCACTTATTATTATCAGTGAGTAACTGTTCCTACACCTGACAAAGTGTCTCACTGAAAATTACTAGGATCCATCTCAGAGTCAGTAACCAACAAATGATAGACTGACAGGAATTCCACTGAATCAAATGCAAATTGTCATTATTTCTTGACGGCGAGTGTATTAAAAAAGGAATAGTATTAGCTGTTCTAACATGTGTTTTTTTACTAAACCCTTGCGTAAAAGTCACTTGACTGGTGGTTTATGAAGTTATTTTAGCTTCAGTGTGATTGCTTAGTACGCTTAGGCTTTAACCTCCCTCCTAATTTTGGCTGAAAGATGCTTCTCAAGTGTATCAGTCTGTTATCATTGTTTAATTTTCTGATTTTCTTACGAAACCTAGTTTGATACGTGTAAATGTCCAGTTCACCTATAAATATAGCATACGTAATGTCTGTTTAGTCAATTATTTAACTGATTCAACTATTAATATATGTGTAAAACTTGGGCACTCTGGTAGTAAGTAATTCCATATTAGTTTGTTTATTAGATGTATCACACAGTGAAACAGTATTATTTACTGGATGACGTTTCGAATACAATTTATTGTTCATAATCATATCAATTTTGATCACACGACTTTGAAATTTTAGTTTTATAGTTTTCTTTGTTTTCTCCTATTTGTCGTAATGGTAGTAGAATTTTCCATATATCTGGGACAGGTGTTGAATCATTTCTATTACATATATTTGCAGTTGATTCGATAAACAAAGCTTCTGTTATCAATCTCTCCCCGTACCCTGTGACATTAGATTTTAAAACTGTCATCCTATCCCATCCTATTGTATGGTTGTGTGTAACTGCATGTAGTGCTATAGCTGAACTATTCTCTAGATTTCTTATCTTATTTGGGTCAACCAATCTAGATTTAACTAGGTTTTTTTGTTCCGCTAGTCTGACTGCCCCCGTTCTACTAGTTTGACCTATGTATTTGACCTCACAATCATTGCAGGATATTAGATAAACTAAATTGTTTTGTTTTAAAGGTTCCACAGGATTGATCCTTTAACCGACAAAGCTTGTTCCTAATTGAGTTTGTGGATTTGAATACCAGCCCTTTTTATTCCTGCCTTGTTAAGAATTCTACGTAAGGTTTCCGAGGTTCCTTCCTTGTATGGAATTACTACTGATGATTTAGATTCCTTATTGATGGTGTCGTCATTAGTATCATTATCGTTATCACTATTATTATTATCATTACTATTTTTATCATTATGATTTTTGTTATCACTATCGCTACTTTCATAATTTATTTTATTTTTACATTTGCTTACATATTTCCTGACTAATTTATCCGGGTAATTATTAAGTTTCAAGGCTTCTTTTATGTGTATCACTTCCTGTCTTAGATTTTCCTTGGTACTACTTAGTTTTTGTGATCTGTTATTTAAACATTTCACTAATCCTATTTTTACTGACATAGGATGGGATGATCGGAAATCCAAATGTCTGTTTGAGTGTGTGGGTTTTCTGTAAACACTAGTGTTTAACTTCCCATCTTCTTTCCTTTTTACGTTGCTATCTAACATTGGAAGTTACCCTTTCCCTTCCTTCTAATGTCACAGGGTACGGGGAGAGATTGATAACAGAAGCTTTGTTTATCGAATCAACTGCAAATATATGTAATAGAAATGATTCAACACCTGTCCCAGATATATGGAAAATTCTACTACCATTACGACAAATAGGAGAAAACAAAGAAAACTATAAAACTAAAATTTCAAAGTCGTGTGATCAAAATTGATATGATTATGAACAATAAATTGTATTCGAAACGTCATCCAGTAAATAATACTGTTTCACTGTGTGATACATCTAATAAACAAACTAATATGGAATTGATTCAACTATTATGTTTCTGAAATCTCCAAATCTATGAAAGATATTAAATCAATTACCAAATTATTTTAACGAAATTTTGCCACGCTAATGTAATCTTTGGATCCATCTCAAAACATGAAACCATGTTTTCAAATGTTACTATGGATTTTATTCATTCTCAAAAAGATAATTTTAATTAGATATAAATGCTATACAAAATAAACTACAAAATAAGGAAGATAAACTGTGCATCATGTAATGTTTAACTCTTCATTGTGAATTCTTAGGTAAAATATTAATGATGAGAAAACAAGTGATTGTCGCTTATTATTTATTGAAATAATCTTTTTAAGTTATATATATATATAATGTTTAAACGTCTTTGGAAGAACCGTGGTCGTCACTGAGTGACAAGAGCGGAAATTCTGAGGTGTCAGTGCTGGCTATTAACAGTCAACTGTTTATACCTGAGCATCTGGAAATCCTGCTTAGTTATTATCCATTATACCTACAATACTAACAGTTAGTACATAGAAATTCGACGCCATCACAGCTGATTCTTCAAGATTAGTGACCATCTCCGTCTAGAATGAGGTAGAGCACCTACCTGTTAAAACGATGACACGATATGGTCCACTAAATTAATGTTTCAGGACTTTAAAGCATGTTAATATCCGAAGACTAAACGTAGATTGATAGAAATGGACTTCAGAATATCAATTGAGTTTCTAAGTGATCCTATTTCGAAGCACTTACGATGATCATTTTCCCGGAAAACCAAACTTTCTGTCGATTAGAATATTTAATGTACTCATGATATTGATTTTATGAATGTTAATAAATAGGGTAATGAATACCGCGTGTGTTTATAAAGCTATCAATGTTATTCTTGTTGTCGGGATACTGCTCGACTGAAAATCATTATTAGACCTCACATTTTTTAAAACTCATTTGCGTTGCGAGTGGAACATAGGGAGTCAAGCTTTGAATATTCAGTAGCGGTGGTGTTGTTTCTATGGGGTGGGATTACTGGGTGACCTTCCTTTCTAGTAACCGAGATATTGTTCATAAATGAAAAGATAATCTCACATTCCCTCATGCTAACATAAACACCCAAAAATCTTTCACACACAATGATTCGGAACTTACCATTTAGTGACGAAGTTGGTAGTGGCAACTGAAGGAATAACATATCAAAGCTAGAAAACACGTATTTAGGTACTCGAACCGTTAGTCCGTAAGGTAAAGCAATCACATACTTCTCACATGACGATAAAATAGATAATGTATTCAGTGCAAAACCAAGACCTGAGGAGAATTAAAATTAGTTGGAAGCACTTTCTGATGAATTATTATCAACCAGGTATAATGAAAACATATTTAATTTTAATGGTTTTAAGTCTATCGAAACTGGGGAGACTCTGCAAGGCTTTAGTGTCTACTTTTTTGGTTTTTCAAACTGTTAGAGCTATTTAAAAAGTCGTACACATAAAATTCAGACTGTTATCAGATAGAAATATTGGTTAAAATTAATATTTCTCTAGACATCTTAGTGACTCTTGGAGACCACACTAAAACAATTGTTAATATATATATATATGTCTCAGAATGTCTTCCGTTAAGTAGAAACAGTTAATTCTCGTATCAAAAACTTAACTTCTAACAAGTCACGTTACTTACAAATCTTCGTGTGGATATTCTTCTTGAAAACAAAGTATTTTTGCCTTGATTATTTGACTCATTACTAAACTGGGCTTAGACTAACTGTTATTATTGTTCTTCGTCCTGTTTCTAATTTCAAATATCCCTGTCTTAAACAGGTGGTTAGTCGAAATGTTTCTCAAAATAACTCACAGGCAGTAAGAACTGTATGCCTAAGTAACTGCCGGAAAACTGTGAGGTTTGAGTTTCAGAACTTTCATGCCCCAAACAACAGTGACAACAGGCAAAAATGTCAAATCTTGGACACGATACTTTAATCGATCTTATACTTTAATATTTAAGTGTGGAATATAAACTTAATTGCTGATATATTTCTAAGCACTACAGATGACGAATTAATTGTACATTTCTATTTAACACAAGGTTCTTCCTATGCATACTGCAGTTAGAGATACAGAAATTAGATGCACAAGCATTTTATTATTATACTGCGATTTCAGTAGTGGTCTTGAACGTAAAAGTGCAGGTGAAATCAAAACTAAAAAAGTAGGTCACTTTATCACTATTCTTAAATAATACTGTTTGATCCTAGTTCTGAAATAGCTGTGAAACAAAAGCTACGGTTTAGTAGAAAGCGAAAAAAGTGAAAACCATTAAAAAATCTGATATATTTCTAAACGCTTATAAGGAAATCACATGAAAATATGAAAAAAAATTCGTTCCTGATTAAAGAAGTTAATGTGTTTATTCAAATAAGAGGACATATTAAGACATTTATTTTCACTCCTTTCATCATATATATATATATATATGATTCGACACTTATCAAGGTGAAAAATACTGGGGTTTTCTTAAAAACAAAAGGTATGCTCAGCATCTGAAGCTTTAGTTTTCTTAAAGATATTTTATCAGCCGTAATTTCTGATAAGATACCAAGAAATTAACGCATAATGATATGTTGGCACATTCAGAAAGCCTTTAAAGAAAACAGCAAGGTGGAGTCAGTTGTTTCAGGTCGAATCTTGGTCTAAAATGTAATGATTGATAAGTAATTTTCAATTAATCAGCAAAAATGTTCTATACTAACACTATGTAATGTTTAGCATAAAGTGACTTTCTAAATGCTATCGAATCGCTAGCTAATCACCAGCTAATTTTCTGGTCTGTATTGAAAGTTAAAGTGACTATAAATGAAGACAAAAGTCATTCTAAGAAAATAAAATGGAAAATCCCCTTTAAGGGTAAATAATTTCATGCTTGAGATTTAACTACGGATAGAAGTTCTATTTCGAGAGATAATAACCAACAATTCGAATTTATCAACTGAAATAAGAGATAAAAATGTCTCAAATGTAGCTAATTAACTTTATCTTTGGAAATGTCACCGATAAAATTAAAATGAATGATGATTTTCTAAAATAAAATTTTCATTTCAGGCTTATTAAAAAAATAATTTGAAATTATGTGTCGTAGATCTTAGGAGAGTGCTAAAAGCTCAGGGCTTATTTAATGTGTACAAGAATAGACGAGTTTCACAATAGATGCCCAATGATAGTAGCTGGTGACTGGAGACTTTCGAGTTCAAATACTTGGGTCAATAAATTCACTAAGCTTCTCTTAACGAAACTGCCCCAGAAATCCGAGCGTTTTAACTAATTATTGAAAAGAAGAAACAAGAGTAAGCCTCTTACGTATTAGCTTTTATCCATTCTAACATTATTACAATCTTGAGATTGAGTTACGTTCTTGCGCAAAAAATGTGTTTATCACCAAAAATACAGCTTTTCCTTATGCTTATAATGTTTTTGGTAAACTCACTAGATATTCCAAGATAACAGTCGTTTGCATATGCGCTATTGTACGAGACTTGAAATAATATATAGTTCAGTAAGATATGAAGAACAATACATCTGGACAGAAGGACAACCACAAGCTTGAAAAACCTTGTATTTCCAATTTTGTACTCCATTGGAACTGCATGTCGCAGGAAACTACTCAAATTGTGATATGCATGCCACGCGTTGACATGAATAAAGTGGCTGGTAAATAGGCAGAGATAGTCGCCGCATCCAAGTGTGAATGGACTTGCACAAAACTATCGATTAAAAAATTAAAAACTCTCAGTTACTTTGAATGGATCCTGTGAGAATGGTGTCGCGAGAATGATAAGTATAATCATTGAGATTAAAACGCTTGTGTGTGCATAGGCAAGCAAATACCATGGTATTCTCAAAGTCTGTACTAAAAGTAAGAGCATAGCTATCTCAGTATGTCGTCCACTTAAAATGTCAATCCTATAAGTGTGTTAGAGGAATAATTTACATCTCACCTGTGAGGAACATATTCCATTTCATGTGTTACCGTGACATTTGAATTGGGTCACTAAATTTCATTATGTCCTATCGTTTTCATGAGCTAGTGTAAACGGTACTGATTTCTTTGTTCTCGCTACTTAGCTCTGAGGTAAGGGTTCTTGAAATATGGTAGAATTTCACAAGGTGTGTCTAGCTACTGGACTACTGTAGCTTCCACTGACTGAGAGAAGAGCTGTGCTATTTGTATATGGTTTCCAGTATGCTGTTTATTGAAACAGGGTTACTGCCGTGGAAGAGGTTTACCCTTTCACCAGTTAGCCGTTTGGTATGATCTAAATGAAGGGCAATCATATTAGATGTAACTAGGGTCGATTTTGTATACTTGAAAGAAAGACGGAGACAGTGAAATTTATTATTTAAAAATCAATAAAAACTATCCTTCGCAAGTAGTGTAATAAGTGAATCGATAGATAAAGTAGTCAAAAAGTGAGGTAAGGCGGAGCGATCAGCGGTAAAGGACGAGTTTAAGTGTATGTCCATTATAATTGAGTCCTAATGAGTTGGGCTGCTTGGATACCGTCCTTGTATCTGTGATTGATTATCCAGACTCCACTTAAAACTTTACACCGTCAAAGCAGTAGCTACGGCTTCTGGTTAAAGCTCCAGCGACAGCAGACTTAGTGCGGAAAGAAATAGGAGCACACTGGAATTTTCGCCTAGATTTCCTTCGAGGAATTTACTAATGAACTGATGGCACAATACATTTGTCTGGGTATTCCCAGGAATTTTTAATATCATATGCAGTGTCCAGGTCACCAAAAGCTGGCGGTGGCTAATTTCACTGTGTACTTCATTTTAGATACCCACCAATTCATCCTGTCTCCTATCTTTGGACCGTTTCCAAAAGATTGCTCTCCGGTTTAAGAAACTTAGGAGCAGTGATATACAGAACATCAAGTTTCGATTGGTCGTATAGTTCAAACAAGCAAGGAAGAAGCTCAAGATTTGGTGCACTTCACTGTCTGCGTGCGGAGAGTAAATTCATACATTTCCTCGAAACATTACCCTTGTAATTCGACCTAGTATCCATATTTGCACTTGAAGGGGACTAAGTCGGATTCTAACGTCAAACAGGATAATTTGCCATCACAAAGGGAGTAGCTTACCCTCTGTGACATGTGGGTACGTAGCTGTTCTACCCTGCGTATCTTTAGATTGAAAGTAATACCACAGGCCAATGACCGGTCTATCCGAGCATACAGATTTGCTTGCAATCAATCCGAGATTTACAAACAATTCGTTGATTTCCAAATCATTATTTTATCAACACAGAGAAAAGCCATGCCATTTGAACGTCGTAGTAGGTCACTTATGAACATCAGAAACATCAAGCAACCCTGTGAAGCTCTCGAGGCCAAACTATGGTTGGTTTTAGTGCAAGATTCTCCTCCGTTTAGATGGTCCGCCAACCTGGAAAGAAGCAGGCTACAAATACCTGCTCAACTTATCCCATGGAGGAGCGGATCACTCTGAGGGGTGTTAAACGCCCTAGTGAAGTCAAGGAAGCTGACGCAGACTGGTACAGTCAAATCCTCGAAAGATGCCTATTCACCCCATGTTGCACTGGATCTGCGCCTCCCTAAATCATGTTGCGCTACATGGAGTGTGCCCTTTCCAAAATGTTCCAAGGTATTACCATCAATCGGACCTTCCAGTACTTTCGACACCATAGTGAGTAGCACTGCTGGTCCATCAGTCATCGCGTTTCACTAAACTCCATGCTTCAAAATAGGACAAAGGACGACTGTATTTCAGTCTATTGTCAGTTCCTCCGAACCGAAAGATTTGGAACTGGTTGTATTAGTGCCTTACAAAGTAGCGACACACTAACCACCTCCAAAGGTCAGAAGGTTTTCTTTGTTACATGAAGGGGTACCGGATTTCAGTGTTTGCCTGGAATTTTCTTGAAAAATTTGCCTAAAACGACCTCCTCCTACTCCTGAATCTTGTGTCGCATAGGTTCCGAAACTCTGCGCATGCCACGTAGTAAATCTGACTTGAAAATTTGTCAAATGGACTAGGCTTTCCCCTCTGTTTGACGAATATCCTGCGTCCCCCTGTCTAGCCATTAAAATCGATCCCTAGGTTGTACAGTGAATAGAGCGACGGTCTCTCCGATCGCCGTACGAATGATCAACTCTACCATATCCCAGAGTTCTGCTACCATTACCATCGACGAGTTAGTGGACGTTCTGCGTCACAAAACATCCTTCTCATATTGATGTGGAGGGCTGCCACCAAACACCTCTCAAAAACCGTTAATGCCCAGCTCTTGCTACGCCGGGCCTCTCGCTGTCCTTCGAAGCCTTTCAGAAACGCTTAGTACTAACGGACGCGAAAACCAGAACACCGATTGGTGACTCGAGAATTCTTTATTCTAACACCAACATATAAGCAGCATAATAAACTAAGGCCTATGAACAAATATTACAATTATAAATCACAATATTACTTCTGACGGTTGTCTCCTGACTTCTTTCTGAACAGCGACCTATGAGACGATGACTGGTGTATTGATGCCTCTGCGAAAATTGGGGAAGTTGGCTTTGAGCAAACAACCATGAATTGATCGTTCAATCTTCAACTGCATTGACACCCCCCGGCAAAAAAGGGATCCATCCCTTTTTTCTTCACGACCAATACACGTTGACTCGGATGCCAGTGCGAGAACCTGGGTCACACGGACAGAGATGAAATGGAAAACAAACAGAAAAGTCAACACACCACATGCATACTCACAGCACAATCTCACACATCGATGACGACCTACGCCTTCCAGCTAAAGGCGTCCTCTTGGCATCTTGCAACACAACCGCCACTTGCTAGAATGACTCTTGCAGAACGCAACGTGACCATAGCAGCACCTCACCATACTCTTCACACATTCTCTTATCTACTCACTATCAATTACCACTGCAATCGCTTGTCTCTCATTCTGCCTCAGTTCTAGTAACGGTGACGTACGCAAGACTCAGTCGTCAACACTCTCGCTCCCTGGCGTGTGGGATCACAGCCTAAATAGAAACATTCATTCTCAATCATTGATTCCACAGCTAGTCATTATCTCCGCGTGTACGTCATTCTCATCACTAGCCTAGCCTCCCCGACGTATACGGCTCATCTGCTGTCTTTAACATCAATCAATTCATTCACGGATGTAGAAGACTAAAAACAACTTCAGAAGTAACGACGACGAAACATTTAACAAAATTATGCAATAACAACGAGATGCGAAAACAACAAGTAAACACAATGAATCCAAAAACACCAGTTGATATGACACACCACACATATATACAAATATTGCACATAACCTCGCAGATCATGTCATGATGGAGTTCCTTTGAAGAATTGCAGGACTTACACCGGTGCGCCTGCAACCCTTCTCACGTTGACGATTGTAAGTTGTGGAATGTCCGGACACAAACAAAATTAATCAACAATTACAATAATTGGAACCCACACAAATATTTGACACTAACATATGTACAATCAACACATCAAATGTTGTGGATTCTGCAATGACGAACTACCCTTGAAGAACTGTAGGACTTACAGAAGTACGCCTACATTCCTTCTCAGGTTGATAATCCAAGTGGAAATCGTTCGGATACAAGAGAAGTTACCAACAGATAGATGATAAATGATACCAATTCAGTATATACAACATGAACATATGTACAAAATCACACACCAAGCACATTGGACTGCTCATTGAGGCGCTACCCTTTGAAGAATTGTAGGACTTACAGCAGTACGCCTACAACCCTTCTCAGGTTGACGCCCTAGGTTGGAAAATCGTCGCAGAGTTCATCTGCTGACCTCCTTCTATCATCTATATCCTTAACTTTGAACGGTAACACGCCCATGTCATCCTGTCGTAGAATATAGATGAGTAACAATTACACGACGTATATGATTAACTAAGCGTAGTAACAGAGTAATTTGCACTAAAGATAATAGCATTCAAATAGTAACTTGGAACTTGAAAAACCTTTATTCATGCAAGTCAGTTTAACAATTATCCTCTCGTACACTGACCAGTATCTTTCGTCTTTACAAACCGACTGATACTAGCATAGTCCTGGTAAAAGATACTTGAGTTGATTTTTGTCTTTTTCATTGTGGATGACAACATCAACGACGACTGATTGATACCAGTTGATGAACTTAGCGGTGTATCAGAAGCTGTTGTTGTTCGGCTTTCAGAAAATTCTCTAACTTCAAGATTACCACCAATGCTGTCTTTTACTATCAGCTCCGCTTTAGCACTAGCATCTGATGATAGGTGGGCTACGTGCTGATCAATTACACTGACGGTCTCACAAGTATCCATACCTTCTGCAACTGCATCTGCATTCAATTCTACTTCACGTTCAAGTTGTACAGAACCTTTGTCCAACTTAGCAGTAGTAGGCATATCCCTCATCTCATAATGATCAACCAAAGACAACTGTGAAGTATCATGATCATTATCACGAATATTCACTTTACCGTCAAGTTCATCATTTTCAAACTCTTGAATAGCAGAAGTAGACAATTTTGGTTCCTCCTCGCAAATCCTTAAACGTTATATATCTTTACTCTGACTAGTAATACCTTGTAAACTTATGGAGTCAGAACTGCACTCTGAAGCAGCAACTCTATTCTGTGACACTCTATTCAACAATGGCTTACCAGTTGCTACTACAAGTTTCTTGACCACACCGTTATCGTCACACAATTCGGAGTCAGGCCTGCAGTTTACATTTAGCTTATCACTGAACTTGCTCACTGGTTCACAGTTCACCTTTGTATGCACCTCTTGCAAACGTGTAAAACACAACCGTGTTTGTCTTGTATCTTGCAACCTATCTCTTGGGGATGTACTACGAAACCTGTTACACTCACTAGGTCTATATGCATTACTAAACATCATGGAGCCTTCTCGATATTCACCTCTCTGAGGCCTATTCGTCATCAATGATTGCGTTTTACCCTCAGACTGCTCTATTCTAGGG